CATAAATTTAAATTGATTCATTTTCACATATGTTCTGCTAATGTGCCCACCAAGAATCCCTTCTGGTCTCTCTCAATTCTTTCTAAATATAATCACTTTTCTGAATTTTATCATAATAGTTTATTTATCAACTTATATACTTCGGATAGAGGGAGTAACAGAATATATATTTGTATGCCTGGCATATTTCTGTTACTATTATTTTGTGAGATTCTTCCATGGTGATGGATTTATTTCTTTAGGGGGGGGGTTTCACACCCGGTGATGCACAGGGGTTACTCTGTGGCTCTGCACTCAGGAATTCCTCCTGGCAGTGCTCGGGGGAACATATGGGATGTTGGGAATCAAACCCGGGTCAGCCACGTGCAAGGCAATCGCCCTACCCACTGTGCTGTCACTCCAGCCCCTGGATTCATCCCTTTCCCATTGTATAAAATAGTGTGGTTTATGTATAAAGATATGGTTTGTGGTATTTGATAATGATACCTGAAATATAAGAGAAAGATAGGAACCATTTTAGCCTGAACTTCTTGGAAACTGAGACTGTGTAGAAAAGCTTACTGAAGTAAATATTTTAGGCAAGTAGGGACAGAAATTAAATTGAAGGCATGTTTCTTTTTGGGGGGTGGGTCACACCTGGTGATGCACAGGGGTTACTCCTGGCTCTGCACTTAGGAATCACCCCTGGCAGTGCTCAGGGGCCCATATAGGATGCTGGGAATTGAACTCCGGCCGGCCGTGTGCAAGGCAAAAGCCCTACCCGCTGTACTATTGCTCCAGCCCCTGAAGGTATGTTTCATATGAACTGTTTGTTAAACATCTTGTGTAGAGACTAAGAGGTATTTGGATATACATGTCTGAGATTATGGGTAAGTATGAGCTAAAGATACAGATTTGGGAAATATCAGTTTAGTGTGTTTAACACCTTGCAACTCCATGGGATCTGTGAGAAAAATGAAGATGGCCATAGAATAAAACAAGCAGAGGTCTTAGCTCCAAGAAAAGTTCAGAGAAGAGAATTGAGAAATAATACAGCAGTTAAGGTGCTTACCTCACACACAACTGACCCCATTTTCATCCTTCCTCAGCACCAAGTATGTCCCCCAAGCAGGGGGATGTCACCAGGAGTGACCCCTGAGCACAGAATCAGAATGATCCCTAGACAATGCCATCTGTGTGCCCTCCTAAAAAAAGAGTAAAAGAAAAGCTTATTAAAGAGTAAGATGAACATATAAAAGAGACAGAATGCTTGGCAGATGAGGTTCTGCCAAGGATCAAGGATCAAGCAATGGAAAAGGGATCAAGCAATGACCTGAAAGTAAAGCTAGAAAATATTTCAAGGCTGGAACTGTGGTAAAGCTGCTAAACAGCCTCTCCTGAGCGGGACTGGCTTTGCCAGAGCTGTGAAGGATTGCACAAAAGGCCTGATTGAATTCATATAGAAACAACTGGTGATTTCTACACTATCACCAGGCACTGTTGTTAAGTAACAAGGATTCCAGTTTTATCTGAGGTAAAATGCACCCAGCTTTATTTTCCAATCTCTCTTTCATCAGAGTGTGGCCATATATGACAAGTAAGCAGAAGTGTGTGGGATTTCTGGGAAGCAGCTGAAAGGGAGCTGATTCAGCCAAGAGGCACCCCTTGCCCATCTGTATTTGTCAGATTTTTGCTGTGATAGTTCTATCAGACAAACAACCCAAAAATATCCCCATGGCTTACAACATTCTATTTCGTGCTTTTGGGCCTGAAGTTTGATTTATGTCAGCTGGGCTCACTGGGCTTGGCTGAGCAAGGCCACCCAGATTCAAAACTACTTTAGCTCAGAACCTACAAGTCACTTTCACACATTGGACAAAGAATTCACATGACTGGGCCCAAAGTCAATGAAGATAGTTATTTTCTCTATCTATGTGAACCATGGCAAGAGAGTGGTGGTATATAAATATACTGTGTCCAGGACCCAAAATTCAAGAGTAGAGCATTTGTCTTTCATGTGTGGGGTCCTAGATTTGATCCTCAGTACAAAGAAAAAGAGAAGAAAATTATGGACAAATGCTACTATCAACCAATCTGCCACACCTTCCTTTGTCCACACCTTCTATGTACCACAACCCAAGAAGATGATGAATGAAACATTTATGATCATGTGAACTTAAAATCACAACGGTCATATGGTAGAGTAGAAAGATGTATTCTATATAACTATGGTATTGCCATAAGTTCATGAACCAAGCTAATTATGATCTTTTTTATTTGGGGATAGGGAAGAACAGGGGTACTGGTCTGAACTAGATTCAACTATGTTCTGGGTCTACTCTTGAAGGTGATCAGAGGATCAAATTAGGGTTGGTTGTACACAAGACAAGTATCTTTTTTTTTCTTTTTTAGGTCACACCCGGCAATGCTCAGGGGTTACTCCTGGCTCATGCACTCAGGAATTACTCCTGGCGGTGCTCGGGGTACCATATGGGATGCTGGGAATCGAACCTGTGTCAGCCATGTTGGCTGCGTGCAAGGCAAATGCCCTACCTGCTGTGCTATTGCTCCAGTCCCCATTTTTTTTCAAGACAAGTATCTTAAACTTTGTATTATCTCTCCAGTCATTCTCTGGTATAAAAAATATATAACCTTCATTTTACAAATTTTTCTTTCATGCTATATTTTATAAATATAGCATGAAAGAAAAATTTGTAAAATGAAGGTTATATGTAGCTAGAGGTACATATAAAATATTATATGTATATGCATACATATAAATATTACATGTGTATGTTTACATATTATATGTATACATATAAAATATTATATGTATATATTTTATATTTATATGTAGCTGGAGCAATAGCACAGTGGATAGGGTGTTTGCCTTGCATACAGCTTATGCTGCCAACCCGAGTTCGATTCCTCCATTCCTCTAGGAGAGCCCAGCAAGCTACTGAGAGTATCTAGCCCACACAGCAAAGCCTGGCAAGCTACCCATGACGTATTCTATATGCCAAACACAATAACAACAAATCTCATTATGGAGACGTTACTGGGCCCACTTGAGCAAATTGATGAACAATGGGAGGACAGTGCTACAGTGCCACAGTGTAGCCTAACATCATTTTAATGGACATGAGTAAGTTTATATAAGGACAGAGTATGAATACCTTCGAAGGGTTTTTTTATATGACATAACAAATATAATAGTGACAAGGAGGAGAAAAGCAGTAGAGGAATTTTTGTTATATTTTAAATCGGAAAGTATTATGTAGTGTGTTGTGAGTTTCAAAAGAAAGCACGGGCATGTGGGACTCGAGCATTGGGTTGCCAAGAACCATTCCCCTGGCTGGCCCATGGCAACAGACAGACAAAGGATGGGGGAACGGAGAAACAGGACCCCAGGCTTGTTGGTAGTCAGTTCATTTCTCTATCCTCCCCAGCATAGTCCAATCTCTCCCCTACAGCATAATCGTAGTCATATTTTTAGTAGTAGTCCTAGTCATCATAGTTCCCTCACCCTCATACTCATAGTCCTTATCTTCTCTTTTTCTCCTTATAGCATAGTTATATAGAAATAATGAAGGGTGGGGGTACACATAGGTGGGGTTGAAGATTGTCATAACATCAAACAGATGTAAAGCCACTCCTTCAGGGGAAGTTCTAGGAGATTAACTCAAGGACAAAATCTCATCTGAGGGTTCAACCCTCTAGATTAGTAGGAGATATGCTCAAGAGTGGGATTCCATCCAGGGTGTATTGCTTTCTCCTTTCCTCAGCTAGTATTCTATTTAAACAATCATAGTAAATTTACTTCTTATATTTCTAGTCATTTTGTATGAACAGAGTAAGAGATATATTAAGCTTAAAGGTTGGTTTATCCTGGGAACATCTCACTATATATCCCAGACTACAGTCCACCGGCCAAATTAGTTTTTCCTAACTCTAGCAGCGTCCTTATTCAATTATTTCTTTTTTAGTCATGACAAAATGTGTTCCATGACTGTGCTTTTAAGTTATTATACTTCTTATGGTACTAGGCTTGTCCCCGTTCCCATGCCAGGGTAGCTTACAGTTTGTACTGGATCCATCCTTGTCCCTTGCTGGGACCATCCTTTGGGGGGGGGGGGGGTTACAAAGTAAGAGCAACTAAGGCTTGTCAGGTAAATATGACAGGTGCCCAGGACTAAATATTATTTTGGAGTCAATTAACACCCATATTACAAAAGCATAGCATCACTGTCTTCCTGTGTCTGTACAAAAAAGGACATTGCTAAACCATGCAAGTGACATAAAGAAAAGAGAAAAGCAATATAGGATTATTAGTGCCTGGTGGAATTGAGTGTGTCTCAGGAGCACTGTTATGGGAGTAACTCAATAAACCTAAGCTCTCTGTGGGAGGAGCAAGGACAACCCAATTTTATCCAACAGTGTGTTATATGATGGTGAGAAAAAAAACAAGATAAATAACATGATTAAAACAGAAGAGGGGATATTATTGAGTAAAATGAGAAAATATTCGATGTACACCTTGATGTATATATTTAAAGATGCATTTATCTTGAGTTTGTTGCTCCTCTTTATTTGGGCATAGGAGATAGAGGAACATGCACACACCTGTGTTCTTAGACTACTTCTGAGCTCCCAGCAGAGCTCAGGAAACCATTTGGAGCTGGTGGCTGAACCCAGGACTCCTGCATATAAAGCATGGGCTTAGCTTACATTTATTTTGACTTAACCGTGAGTAATTTGTGCCCATTATATCATTTAAGCTACTTAAATTTAATGAATATTCCCTAAGAGTTTTCCAGGCGACTTCATATATTAAAATAGATTTTATTCATGTTTTTAATTTTAGGTAAATAATAATTGAAGCTTTCAAATGCTTCACATATTGCATTTTATGCTGAATGGGGCTGGGGAGAGGAGAGTTTGTACTATTTGGGATTATATGAATGATCAAAAGATAGCCCAGTAGTTCAAAAAAAAACTCATTAAAAAACTCATTAAATGTTACACTTACTTGCCAGGGGAGATACCATGATCACGAAGGTAGTTTTCCCAGGGCAAAGCTTATCCACTGCACTCCAGATGTGCTGACCCCTGCAATTTACCCAAATGTGGAAAACTGCATAATTTGTTGTGATAGTAGGGGACTGTGTTCATACTCTCCCTTGAAAAAGAAAAAAAAATCATTAAATGTTATGAATTATCTTACAAATAAAAATGACACAGGAAACTGCAACAAGTTGTTTTTAAATGTTGTTGATTTTTTTGCCTTCAGTTAAAATTAAATTTCTTTAATGCACAGATGTTTAGATGAAGTAAAAACATATACTTGCTTGATGGAACTGTTATAATATTACATACATAAACCTACTCACAACGCTAAAGTTTTTAAATTTTTGTCTTTGATTTGAGAAGCAGAGTCTTTTTTTTTTTTCCCCTTTATTTTATTTTATTTTTTTTAAAGTTGTAGATTTACAATTTTTGTGCTTTGGTTTCAATTATACAATGATCAGATACCCATCCCTCCACCAGTGCCCATTTTCCACCACCATGGATAATATCCCTCCCACCCCCATCCCCCCATCCCCCCGTCTCTGTGGCAGGGCAATCCCCTGTGTTCTCTCTCTCCTTTTGGGTGTTGTGGTCTGCAAAAGAGGCATTGAGTGGCAAACATGTTCAGTCCATAGTCTACTTTCGACATGCATCTCCCCTCCTGGGAGGATCCTCCAAACATCCTTTATTTGGTGCTCCCTTCTCTATCTGAATAGCCCTTTCCTCTAGGATACCCGGCTGGCCTCTAAGTTATGGAGTAATCCTCCTGGTGCTGATCTCAGCTACTCTTGGGTATTAATCTCATACTTTGTTACTTTATATCCCCCAGATGAATGCAATCTTTCTATGTCTATCCCTCTCTTTCTGAAGAGAAGCAGAGTCTTTTTAACTTGAATTGGGCACCACTTTTCTTCCCGGTTCTTCCAGTTACTTCCAGTTACACTCTTAATAATTTTACTTTCCCAAACAAAGCAGCTTGGGGAGAAACAGCTAGTGTTCCATTTGAGACTCTGAGATGCCTAGTAGACATCCCAACAGAGATGTTAAGTAACACATTAGACATACAAGCCTGGAGTTGAGGGAAAACATATGATCTAGACACCATTTTGGAAGTCAGAAGCATTTAGTATATTTCAAGTTATAGAATTGGATAAGATCATCTGGGCATTTGATGCACATAAGATTTTCTTTAAAAAACAAGATCTTTGACTGAGGCCCAGAGCTCAACATTTAAAGGTTAGGGCTATAAGAAGACATAGGCAGTGAGACTGAGAAGGAAACAGCCAGTGAGGCAAGGAAAGAGAAAGAGAAGCATCCTGATCGCCAAGAGAAAAAAACTGTCTGAGAGAAGAATTCTTTGTTTTGACTAATAAGGAAAAAAAATGATGAGGTGACATTGGATTGTGCAATGTGATGTAGAGCTGGCCAGCTTAGAAGATGGAAGAAGAGGTTAGGAATGGAGGCTGTTGGCAATTCAGTTGCAGGGGATGTTAATTCGTTTCTGGTTCAAAGAAACATCCCTGGGGTGTCAGCTGCAATGTTAACCTCACCTGGGGGGTTGGCAAAGCAAGCGGAGGTTCAGGAGATGGAGAGCTCTGGGGACCATATGGGGTCCCGGGGATTGAATCTGGGCCAGTCTCATGCAAGACAAACACCCTCCTATCTGCTGTGCTAACACTCCTGCCTCTCAGTTCTCTGTTGAATCCACTCCACCAACTCTTTCCCATGTCTCACTGGCTGTTTATTAATCATTTTGGTGGAGTAGGTTCAAGAGAAAACTGAGAGGCACGAGCGATAGCACAGCAGATAGGGTGTTTGCCTTGCATGAGACTGGCCCAAGTTCAACCCTCGGCACCCCATATGGTCCCCAGAGCTCTCCAGGGGTGATCCCAGAGCAAAGAGGCAGGAATAAGCCCTGAGAGAGGGGGGGGCAGAGAGAGAGTGAGAGAATACTGAAATGAAATTAGAGACAACAAGAATAAACTTTTTTCAGAAGCTTGCTTAAATCAAGGAAGAAATGAGGTGACATAGTCAAGAAAGTGTTGTTTGTTTTTAAGACAAATAAAAGCATGTTGCTACATTTAGGGGAATTGCCAAAAAAAAAAGAGAAAAGATGATGCCACCCCCAAGAGTTGGAAAGCATGCAAGAGAGATGTCTATGAGAAAGAGTGAGATCTATTGCCCAGAAAGAAAGTTTGGCTTTAGCAGAGAGCATATATAGTTCACCCAAAATGACCAAGAAAAATATTAAGCAATGTCCAACCCCTCTCTTCCATCTTCTTAGCTGGTCACATTTCCTAAACCTCTGCTTGCTTTGCCAAACCCCCCAGGTGAGGTTAACCTCACAGCTAACATCCCAGGGATTTTCCTTTGATCCAGAAACAGATTAACGTCCCTAGTAACTGAGTTGCCAACAGCCTCCACTTCCGATCTCTTCCTCCGTCTTCTAAGCCAGCCAGCATCACATCTTCTGGACCAAGATCAGTGAGCTCAAATAATAACAGGGAAAGCTCTACCAGCAACAACCAGTACTGTAAACTACCAGAAAATAACATTTGTTTTCCACAAAAGCACTTTATTTGAGGGGAGGAGAGTCTGCCTGAGAGGATAACAGTTCCCAAACCAGCCAACAGCCCGGTGAGTGGCATTCTTCAATTTTTAAAATCAACTGAAGTAAGAAAAGGCTTTTCTAGTGATTTCCTTTTCCAGACAAAAGGCTTCGAATCCCTCAGGATGGAAACATCCAAAATATGGTGGTGGGAAAGTGTGATGGTGGTGGGATTTGGTGTTTGAATATTCAATGTAATCAAATAATGTGAATGACTTTGTAAAAATAATTTTTAAAAAAAGAGACTTTGAATCCACTAACCCTATTCTCAGCAGCTCGTGTGGGAGATGTGGGAAGGTTGAGCAACTTAGAGAGACCGGACTGATGGACCCGATGTGTGTGTGTGGTCAGGGTGCGTGGGAAGACAAGGCAGGAGAAGAGGCAGCTGACCACTAGGGAAGGGGGCAGGCACCTTCAGGCACTGTGGGTGGTAAAGGGCTAATTCCTGTGCTAGGTGCAGATCCCCAGTTGTGTTTGAAGCTCCAGTTGCATTTGAAGCTCAGCAAGGTGTTCACCTCCTCTCTGCTTGGTTCAAAATCAAACACCTCTAAGTTCTCCACAAAGACATCGCAGACTAAAAAGACGACAACCAAATTCCTCTGCTTCGGGAAGCAGATGAGCATCTGGACTGTGGTTGTCTTTTGCCTGACTGTGGTCTCTTTGTTCCTGGGATCCATCCACAAGGAGGGGTCCTCAGGCTTGGCCCAATGCCTGTCGGGTGGGCCAAAGGGGCTGTGGCCTGTCATGGCGATGCCCTGGTTCTGGCAGTACTGAATCAGCTAGCTTCTCCTGGGGAGCGGTGGCACTCAAGATGCTTTCCCACCAACTGGTATTTTAGGCCAGGCTTGTTTAGGCTCTTCTCCACTTGCAGGAGGTTGAAGTTGGAGATTCCCATGGCTTTCACCAGCCCTTCATCCACCAGCTCTCCCATGGCCATTCACATGTCCACCAAGTCTGTCTCTCACAAGGAATCACTTTGTCATCCCCATCAAGTGGGAAAATCTCCTTTGTGGACTTGAAGCCGGTGGGTCAGTGGTTCAGGTAGAGGTCCAGAGAGTCCAGCATGAAGTCACTCAACGTCTTCTAGCCCACACCCCTCACTGGGCTTTTCCTGTGGGACGTGCACCACACTTGCTGACAATGAAGGGGTCCTCCCACTTCACCACCTGCTGCTGGAGCTTCTCCTGGATGGCCGAGCCCACCTCATTCTTGTTCTAGTAGACATGGGCACATTTAATGTGGTAGTTCCCAATGTCAGTGACAGCCTTTACACCTCAGCCACTTTGCCTGGCAACGGTTTCCAGGTGCCCAGCCCTAAAAGATGAGAATTTTGGAGTAAGTGTAGAAAGTTATGTACTTAGCCATGACCACTAAGTTTCACAGCGTCTGCTCAAGGACCATGCCCTCTTAGAGGACAACTTTAGAGAGTGACTTTAGTGACATGTTGAGGATGTTTAAGGAGCTAAAAGAAACAATTGCAGAGGAAATCAGCAAAGCATAAAAAACATGAGCATGGGAATGAGACCACTACATTCAGAAGTCTCAGAAATGAAGAATAGGTTTGGTGATATTCAAAATGCAATAGACAATGAGAAGAATAATAGAAGCTGAGTAAAAGACCATGAAACTCCAATATGTGATGCAGGAAACCTCTAGAAAACAATAGAAGATAGGGGAAAAAAACTGAAGAGAAGTAAGCAATGAATCAGAGAACAATATTGAGTCACTAGTGTCCCTGAAGAATCAGAAGGCAAATTAAGTGGAGAACCACTTTTAAAGAAGTCATAGGAAAGAATGTTCTAGAGTTGAGGCATGAAGAACCAAGATCCAAGAAGCAGAAGTTTTTCTCTTTGGAAGATAGAAAACAATGGCCAAAGAAGGACAAGTTATGCTATCGCAATAACAAAGGAAAGATAGTTGCATTTAGTCCTAAGAAGATAACAACAAAGATGCTAAGAAGTGATGGGTTTCTGAATATTTTCAAATATAACACAATTTGTTGAACCATTGTGTCCTTCTGATTTGTATGTCACTTGGAACAAAATCAATGGTGCCAATTAAATAACAATGTTTTCATTTCAATTTTAAAGTGTATCCAAATTCCATATGCTAAAATATTAAAATTTTATATGAGACTTAATTAAAATTGTATACTGTTGAGACAGTGTATAAATCTATATGTATGTGTTGTGCGTGTGTAGTATGTAACAGTTACAGCATTCTTAGGCAGAAGTTCTTTTCACAAAAATTAAAAATTAGAATCAGTCAAGCTGAGTAGACAGCATCGTACGTAACTTGCTAGAGAAATTCCTCAACAGCTTACTGAGAAAAACCAAGGTTGTGCTCCAATTAGCTGACCTTTACTGGGCTCATTTTGCCACCTATTTAGCGGTTGGTTCCTGTCTGGGAATAACTCCATGTTGCTTGGTATGTCTAATTAATAGCCACAGACCAATTTACTTATTATTTGCATCTCCAGATACTAATTCTTATTTCCAGTTAATGGTT